GAAAACAAGTATCCGATTCCTGACCTTAAGTATCCGATTCTGGAATCAGAATCAATTTTCGATTCCCAACCCTAGTGAAGACAGTGTATCACTTTGTCCTACCATTTATTTTCATTGCACAGGACAGTGAAGAAACCCTCTCGGATGAGTGTCCTTTGGAGGAAGTACCTGTAAGTGCATAACTACACATAAAAACACACTATATACTGTACATATATACTGTATATATATATTATTTAACATTACTTTTAGTTCTAATAACAAAAATGAAAATTTTTTGGGTGTTTCGTTAACTATAATAAATGAATCTATAAACACATGTACACACAAAACAAAGTAAAGTGAATTAACAATAATTATACTCAATCAATATGCAAACACAAGGTGGTGAAAGGGGGTTATATTTGTCAGGTCCCACCAGAAACTATGTCAACGTTACTGGGATCATTAGTGCAATCATTTTTCTACCTCGCCTAATTTCTTTCTTGGGAATAAAGCTGAACTTTCATGGCAGACAATCAGTCATTGCTGTAGAGCTATTAGACAGGAAGTCCTTGATTCAAGTTTTTCTGTACATCTCAGGTCAAGTTCACCAGTGCTGTGAAGCTGTCGGAGGGTAGCGCTATTGAATATGGGCGAGAGGAAGAGGAGAATTTCTTCAAGCGGCTCGGTAAATGGCGGTCTGGTCGGAGGAACCCTTCCAAGCTTCACCACACAGAAGAGAAAGATGGTAGAATCCTGGGGTGCCTTTCCCCACCCCCGTCCACAGTTTGCTCTGTTTGTTTGTTTGTGTGTGTGTGTGCCCGTACTTGACGTGTCTTGTGCTTCTGATACACTCCTCTACCATCTTCCATACCAGCTCTCTGTGTGTTTGTCCATCTTTGTCAGAGCCATCTGCTGGAAGAGGGACTGTGGTTCTCTGACCTATGACCCGGCACCATGACCCGTCACAGCTTTGTCTGAGTTGTCGTGAACCCTTCAGCTCTCCAAGTTAATAGTTAATAGTTATTAGATGTTTATTCGGGGGATTTCAGAAGTCATAGTTTGATATGCAAATCTTGAGTATTCTTGTTGTTTCAGACTAGTGCCAAAAACAGACTTGCATGTTCATTCGATATCACCAGATGCATATTTCATAAGCTATTTTCAGCTGTTCATGTAGAGGTTCTACACTCCTTTCACTGACATCATTCTGTACCACGACAAGGTTGCCATGGATTCCAGGAGCACTTGGCTGCCAGTCAGGAGGCCATGAAGAATAAGAACATTGTGAATCTAGGTGCAATCAGACAGGGCATGAAGAGATTTCAGTTCCTGTTGAACTGCTGTGAGCCGGGAACCATACCAGATGCTTCAATTTTAGCAGCAGCGCTGGACCTGGTCAGTTCTGTTTCTTTTGTTTATATATATATATATATATATAAAAATGGTGTCACATTACTTTTGAAACATATATACTAGGCTGTAAAATATACAGAGATAATATATCTCTATATATAGGGAGAGATTTATACATTATCTGAAAGCTGAATAAATAAGCTTTATATATATTTTTATATATAGAATATATATTTATATATATATATATATATATACTGTATATAATTTAACATGAATTTTATTACATTAATTTTATTTCTAATAACAAAAATGTTAATATGTGACCCTGGACCACAAAACCAGTCATACCAGGGTCAATTTATACACCATCTGAAAGCTGAATTAAGCTTTCCATTTATGTATGGTTTGTTAGGATAGGACAATATTTAGCTGAGATACAACTACTTGAATATCTGGAATCTGAGGGTGCAAAAAGATCAAAATGCTGAGAAAATTGCCTTTAAAGTTGTCCAAATTAAATTCTTAGCAATGCATATTACTAATAAAAAATTAAGTTGTAATATATTTACGGTAGGAAATTTACAAAATATCTTCATGGAACATGATCTTTGCTTAATATCCTTATGATTTTTGGCATAAAAGAAAAATCGATAATTCTGAGCCATACAATGTATTGTTGGCTATTGCTACAAATATACTCGTGCTACTTATGACTGGTTTTGTGGTCCAGGTACACAAATATAACCACAAATTCCATTAATCTAGATAAGGCTGGAATACACTACACAAGTTTTGCTCACATTTGTGTCTGAATGAGTTGACGCTAATTGACGAAAGCCAGAGCCAATCAGAGTTGATGGATTTCACAGAAAATCACATTGTGTATGAAGAGCACATATTTAGTTTCAGACTATGATTCCGTCCAGTCAGAGGATATCAAACATATTTGATATTTTTAGTCAGTTTTACAACACAAGTTTTAACTTGTCGCAAATCCTAGCAAGGATGCACATTAGTTCAGAATGCCTTGAAAGTCTAATTGTGTGTGATCCTCAGTTGTTTAGTCTATGATGCCCAGAATGTGTGATGATATGATGCTAGACAAAGGCGGCAAGTGTATGATGCCTGTAGTGTTTTAAAATTTGTTCATTCATTTCAAAGTGGTGTAGTGTATACCAGTCTTAAATGTGCATTTATCATGTTTGTGTTTTAATTTTTTTTTTATTTGTTGGTGCCTTTTGATATACAGTTGTGCTCATAAGTTTACATACCCCTTGCAGAATGTGCAAAATGTTAATAATTTGAAACAAAATAAGAGGGATCATGAAAATTGCATGTTATTTTTTATTTAGTACTGTCCTGAATAAGCCATTTCACATAACAGATGTTTACATATGTAACCCCTCTCTCCCGGGTCCTCTCTGCCACACCTCGTTCTTGTTCCGAGTGGGTCTCGAACCCAGGTCTCCGGCATGGGAGGCGGACGCACTAACAAGGTGGCTAAAGACTACAGCCTCTAGCGCGCCTCTTGAGATCAGGGGAGTGAGGTTTACCTGCACAGCACCTACTCGCTGGCCTCCGTTACA